TTTGAAAAGCAGTTCTCTTGAGGTCTAGGGGCCAATCTCATTACTAAAAATATGTGTTTCTGGGCCATATGAGCTATTGAATTTCTTTCCCAATTAGCAGTGAATAGTTTTGTAGAACAATGAAAGAGACCTTCAGTTTGTACTTCGTTAATTTTGGTTTTTCTTGGGAGTATATTGGAAGCACCAGTTACCACAAACCTTTGTTTCTTATTCCTGATCTTTTCTACTTTTTTTTTTCTTCTGGTAATAGGGGTTGAACCCAAGGCCCTTGTATTGAGCTACATCCTCCAGCCCTTTTGACATGTTTTATTTTGAGGCAGGGTGTTGGTAAGTTGAGATCCTTCTGTAACAGCCTCCCAGAGTGCTGGAATTACAGGCGTGCACCACCATGCCCAACTCTTTACTTTTTCTTTTCCTTTCCTTGAGCAAATGAATATCCAGAACTCTATTTTATAGATGGTTACAGCCCTAGGTAAATTCTTCGTTCAAATACTACTTCCTCACCTGAGCAACTATTTCAAAAGTAACAATATGCAATGTAACACACATTGTTAAATTTCTGCCATCTTGGTTTGAAATCCTGTATCACTTTCATTTTGTTGTTGTTATTTCTTAAATTTGTTTGTATGCTTCTTGGTTTTTCTGTGTTTTTTCTCTTTAAACTTCCTCTTGGCCAAGACTGGACTCCATGATAGGTGGAACACAAAGCAAAGCTGTGCTAGTTTTTTTTCTGTTTAGCTTACCTAGCTACCAGGAAACTGCTGTTGTTCAGGAGATGCTGAAAAATTATAAACAATGAGAAGTTGACAGTGTCATTGCTCTATAGAGAAGAAGGAAGCCTCTGGTAGGAAACTCCATGTGCTGTTCCTTGAGGTTTGTTAACCACATTTTCTCTGGGTTCTTGGCAAAAGGATAAGTTGTTTGGTCAGAAGGACCTTTCAAAGTGGAATAATTAAATGTTCTGGAGAGTCAGATAATGGGTTGAGTTTTTAAAGTTTTATGAAAACAGAGGACAAAATAAGACCTAATCCTCTGAACTTAAGCGACAGATAGGAGGGTGCGCAAGTCATTGGCAGGACAGTTCTCTGAATAATCCTACTGTTGCAGGTGTTTAGAGAAGCAGCCTGTAGTTTGTGGCTCTGATATGAAGGTTGATGAAGGTCGTGGCTGGGATTAGTGCTACTCAGGTCTGATTCCCAGTGTGTGCCATGTGTGTGGCAAATGTTTTCTTACTTTCCAAGATTCCAGCAACGTCTAGTCAGAATAGACTGAAATGTAACAGAAGGCTAAAACAGTTGAAACACAGAATTCACACTATCTCCACAGTTACTAAGACATTACAGTTACTGAGAAGTTGCCACGACCTATGTGGCTCCTGAGGTTCTGGGGGTTAAGGACCGTGAGAGGATGAGAAAAATAAAGAGACAAAGCTGGGGTCAGGTGGAGTCCTTATCCTCCTGATGGGAGGAAAGGTACTGGCTCCTCACTGCACAGGGATTTATTTATACCTTTTAGCAACTTACTGTCACATGACACCCTGTTGTCCTAGCAACCCACTGTTCAGATTGTCTTGGGGGTAGATGTTCTCTGGGCTGAAGCAGCTTCTTCAGGTGGCTTGCCCTAGGCGCTCTTTATTCTTGGAATGGTCGTGTTCCAGCCTTGCATGTGTGGTCAATTTCCAGCTTCAACAGTTCCCAACAAGAAGTTAGTGTCTACATTACATGCAAAGCTGTGTTAACACTTCTGTCCATACCATTTTCTACTAATTTTTTGCCACTAGTTTTGAAACCCAAAGAACTGTCTGAGATGCAACACGCCTCATCTTTTTTCTCTTTCTCTCTCCCTTACCCTGTTCCTCCCTCTCTATTCCTCTCAGCCACAACCACACTAGTTTCCAATTTGTAAAGCTATACTTCATAGTTTTAAATTTTATCTTATTTCCTTTTTATTACTGTAAAGTTAATTGATGATAATACTATGATTGTTAACTACCTACTCCAGATTAACACTGTTATCCAGTTTTCCCATCACTGGGGCAAAATACTACACACCTGCAACTTAAAGGAAAGCTTTATTTTGGATCAGAGTTTCAGTGGACTCAGTCCATAGTCGGTTGGCTCCAAAACAGAAACAGTGTGGTAGAAGAAAGCTGTTCACCTCATGGCAGCCAGGAACTAGAGAGAGAGAAGGGAGGAGCCAGGGATAAAAATATACCCTTCTAGGTCCAGTCTCATGCTCCAACATGAGACTTTTGGATTGAACTCATGACCTTGCATTTGCCAGGCAGGTACTTATGAGGATGAGCTAAATCCTCAGCCCAAGCCAATAAATTTTGATGTGCTGCTTTTATTTTCATTTGGTTTTCGAATATTTCTTAAAATTTTATATTTCTGTTCATAGCTCCTGCATAAAGTTTAGGTTTTCCACGGACTGATTTAAAATGATCAGATATAGAACACCAATGATCTTCCCATTGACAATACAAGCTTACCATTTGAAGATCACACAGTGATTATTGAAGGAAGACAATACAAACTTCCAAATACAAATCTTGCATTGCTTATAGATTGCATTGCAATCTTTATAATCTTGCATTGTTTTAAATTCTTTGAAGTATAGCCATTGGTTCTTCATTTAGGTACTTCTGTTGGATACACTTGGAGATTTTAACTAGGGGTATACTAAATTCTCCAGATAGGTAAGTAATGCAGCAAAAGTGTCTTAGCTATTTGTTGGATATCAGTTTGAGAGGAAAGCATTTTTAACAGTGCAAACTCCTCCCAACCCTGATATCCTTGCATATGTACTGAACTAGAGTAATCTTAAACTAGAAACGTATCAGTTTCCAAATACTTGGAAAAGGATTCATATCTAGAATATATAAATTACTTTTATAATTCATTAGTGAAAAAAACAACCCAATATAAAAAAAAAATGGGGAAAAGACTTGAATAGAAGATGTAAGAATGGCTGAGCGATCCCTGCCATGTTGGAACTTAGGGTGCCGGGGAACAAAGGAAACCCCTTGCTCCCTACCATGAGCCTACCAGTGTGTGGGCTGAGAATGAAACATCCCATTATCACCCTCCCACCCATTAGCAAATGAGAGCCAGCGGTCTGAGCATCTCTTGGGAGGATGATCCTATGCAATATAGCATATATGGGGGATTGATTCCCTTCTACCATCTCTTTGAAGGCAAATATTGTCATCACTGTTTTGCTTTGTTCTGATTAATTGTATTGCTCGATTCAATACTCTGCTTTGATAGGTTTTATGATCTGTATTTGGTTTGATTTTGCTGTATCTGATTGAAAGAAAAACTATTGTGAAGATAGCAGAGATATACTTTGGTATCTATTACTGTTATCCTGGTAACAGCTGTGAAGTTATCCCAGTAACAGCTGTGAAGTTCCTGTACCAATTTCACTGCATTGTCTTGATTGGCTTTGTTCTGTCTTGTTCTGTTGTATTATACTACCTTCAAAATTAAAAAAAAAAAGAATGGCTGAGAAGTACATCAAAGATATTCAATAGGTAAAGCAAATTAAAGCCCTAATATGCCATTTCATACCCAGTGTGACAGCAGTGAACAAAAAGACAACAAGAAAGTCTGTCAAGGATGTGAAGAGATTGAAGGCCTTGTATACTGTCGGTAGCTGTATGAAATGGTACAATGAATTTGTGGTAGTTTCGTTGTTGTTGTTGTTGTTTTTAAAGAAAAAAAAACAATAAAAAAATCGTACAGAATTTCAAAACTAGTTAATAAGGGGCTAACAATGATTAATATGTTGTGTATTACCTTCAAAGTAGTTTCTCAGACTATAAGATATAGGCATGAAGAATTGATCAGACAGTATAAACACAAACCATTCTTTGCAATGGACTAATAGAAATTATTATATAATTATCTTGGCATATATATATATATATATATATATATATATATATATATTCTTCCTTCTGGTATAACCAATTTGAGAAACAATTTCTTTTTATATACAGTATATTATATTTTATTTGTAATATATAATGAAATATAATGAACAGTAATCAAAAATATTTATGGGTACAGTGTGAAATTTTAATACTTGTATACAAGTGTAATATTCAAATCAAAGTAATTGGTGTATCTATCGCCTTAGACATTCATCATTTGTGTTGAGAACATTTAAAAATCCTTTCTACTAGCTATTTTGAAATATATAATAATTGTGAATCATAGTTATTCTATGCTATAGAACACTATAAGTTCATTTTGGCAATTTCTTACAGCTAAATATAATTTACTATATAACCCAGCAATTCCCCTGTATGGTAAAATATGCCAATATGTTTACACAGGGACTTTATGTGAATCTTCATAGCAATATTACTCATAAAAAAAAGAGAAACAACCAAAATGTCCATCAACTGCTGAATGGATAAAGAATATTTGGTACATTAACATGGTGAAATATTACTTACCAATAAAAATGATTAAGTTCAAAAATTTATACTTTGAAAAAGTTAGACACAAAAGAATATATATTGTGTCATTTCCTTTATATGAAGTGCTAATAAAAGCAAATCTACACAGAAGAAAACACATTAGTAGTTTTGTAGAATTGAAAGTAGAAATAATAGTCCATCACAATTCAATATGAAGGAAATTTCAATATGATAGAAATACTTTAAATTTAGATTATGGCAATGGCTACACAACTGTAAATTTACTAAAAATTATTAAATTTGAGTGATTTTTGAATTAAGTGAATTTGTAAGGTGAATGGGTAAATGTTAAGGAGTACAAAGTATATACCTTGATAAAGTTGTTTAAAAGCTCTCCAAAATGAACTAGAATGGTTCTAAACTTTATAGAAATTATATTTCATATTCTGTACCTAGTTGACCAGTATTCTGTGCAAGACCTGTTTAATGGACATACCAAAAATTAAATGTGCCTCGAAACACTCAGGATGAATGTATCAGGCTTAAACATCCAGTGTCCTATCCATTTCAGAAGGAAAAGGCCCAAGTTCAGTGCTGTGAACCTCTCTGGCTGCCTTCCAAGCAGGGAGGCTAGAATGAGCTTTGCCCTGGAGTGACACTCCTTGTCACTGATTAACCAGCTCCATAGGAAGGTTGCTCTGACAACCTTCTGCTCTGTCGGGAGAGAGAGATCCGGTCAAGCTTTGGTGAGCAGAAAAATGTCCACTCGCTACCATCAAGCTGCTAGTGATAGTTACCTGGAACTTCTGAAAGAGGCTACCACACGAGACCTGAATCTTTCCGATGAAGATGGAATGACGCCCACTCTGCTAGCAGCCTACCATGGCAACCTGCAAGCCCTGGAAATAATCTGCAGTAGGGGGTAAGTTTATCCCGATGTTTTCAGTTAAAGACGGTATTTATGACAGGATTTCATGGGCAGCAGCAAGAAGCAGGGAACTCAGTGCAGACACTTTGCCCACTTTGTAAGCTAACTGATTGGCTTTTTAGAGAAAGAGAAATCTATGCTAGAGTGCTTCCTTTTGTACAGAGAATTGGCACCATGGGAGCAGCCCATTCCTAAGCCACACACAGAGGAGGGGCCCTTCATTCTAAGGCTTTGCCATATTTCTTGGTTAGGAAAGTGTATTTTAATTCTATGTGATTAAAAGTCTTGCCTATGAAATTTAAGTACTTAAAAAAAAAGAAATTTAAGTACTTGACTCTTCAAAGAGAAGTCACCATCCTATTTGGTTTTGTCACCCTTACCTGGGACAAATGATGGGTTTTTATTTTTACATTATTAAAACTCTGTAATCTTTTATTAGCATTCAAGTCCATGATTTATGATGAGAATGGCTGGCTTTCCAAGCTGTAAAAGGAACTTCGGCCCATCTTAACATCTTTATCTGTCTGGTCAGTGCTTGTGAAGTCACACACAGAGCCCACACCCACCCCTCTATTTTAAGACAGCGTTAGACAGTTTTCTCCTGCTTGTTTTGGCTGTTACCAGGTGGGCTAGGATGCTGAAAAATGTGACTCAGGAAAAGTGAAGAAAGGAATATGAATGAGTGAGCCAAGTGAATTCCAGTCAAACATAGTATCTAATATATCACAGTCCCTCTTTTGTTTTCTTCTTTGCCAGCCACTGAGGACAGTGATCAACAACCTGTCATGGCGATCAGATTTGAGAGGGGCAAATAGACAAGTCATTTAATGCATTTTATAAAAGTGGAAATAGAGGGCACTAAATAAATAACACAGACATCCATCCCAACCTCAGGGTAGGAGGAGGCTTTTCCTGAGGCGAAAGTCATTAAGTTGGGTTTGGAAAGATGGGATAGTGGACCAGGAAAGAAGGAAGCCAGCTTCCTCTTAAGGTTGAGTACCATGCATTCTAGGAGCTGAAGTAGCTGAGTGTGGCAGAACTTGGTTTGAATAGGGACGGGGTGAGTAAGAACAGTAAAACCGTATCACAAACAGCGTTGTAAACTCTGTTAAGGAGTTGAACTGTATCTCAATGGTGTGGAAATCATCTTGTGTTTATCCAGAAGAACCTCAGGTAGACTCATGTTTTCAAAAACAGTAAATCCTTGTTTATGCCAGACACATGCTTGTAATCCAAACCATATATATATCACATCAATTTTCCCATGAGGTATAATGGAAACTCAGATGATTATTTCCACAATGCAAAAATATTTGTGTAAATGATTTTAATACTGTCATTTGGTACAAAATGATAAAATACAAAATACATAGAAAAATAAACAAATTAGCCTGCAGTTAACTTTGAAAATCTTCATGGATGGTGTAAGAGAAAAGAGAAAGGAGGGTCATTGTGTGGGATGACCTTCACTGTCACTAGTACAATCACTGCTATCTATTGGTTCAATAGGATTTTTTTCTTTTCTTACAACTTTAACAAAGAACCTATCCAATGACATTTGTTTTTTGCCTCCTTTTGAGGATTTCATGAAAATCTGACATTTTAAGTTTAAGCAGATTCATCACTCACTGAAATAGTACTATTTGGATGATTTTTTTTCTACACAATTTTGTACTGTTTCCCACATTTTACACACCTCTCTAATCTCATTTGAAGTGAAGGAAGGGAAAGAAAAGGAAAGGGGAGAGGGCAAAGGAGAGGGAGTGGGAGAGAAAGGGAGAGAGAATTTACCAAGAACAGAAACTTATTTCTCACAGTTTCAGTCACTGGAAAGTCCAAGACCAAGGTATTGACAGGTTCAGCGTCTGGAGAGAACTATTCTCTGGCTCTAAGATGGTCTTACTGCTGCATCCCTTAAGGGGAAGAATGCTGTGTCCTCATGTGGTGGACGAGGTAGAAGAGGGTGGGGGAAGAGGAGACAGATTCCCTCCACCATCCCTTATCAGGGCATCTAATCCTATTAATGACTCAGTCATCTCCTTAAGACCATACTTCTTTGTACTATTGCCTGGGAGATCAGGTTTCAACATGAATCGTGGAGACAATCTAACACAACACAAACATTCAGACCTTAGCAACATATACACAATTGAAAAACTTTTTTAGATGTATTGAAAAATTACCCTTCAGAAAGTGAGTAATCATTTTGCCAATATTAGGTCCATATTACGTATTAGTGGAAGAGTTTATGGTTTTTTGCCGTATTCCACTTCTGTAAACCCCATATTATAAATTGTTCCACTTTTACATTGGCATCTTCAATATTGCTCATTGATTTATAAAAATGCTTTTTAAAATTTATCAATATTAATCCTTTGTAAAATATGTATATTGCTACAGTTCATAACTCATGTTTCAATGATTAATATTTTAAATAAAAATGCAAATATAAATATATGTAATTTAAGTATAGACTTTTAAGCACATATGAGTATCTATATTATATAATTCTAACATGGAGAGCCATTCATGCCTAAATTAGATAGTTTCTTTAACTTTTTTTTTCATTGTTTATATTTATTTATTTTTTGAGACAAGGTCTCACAATGTAGTATAGGCTGGCCTTGAACTTGTTTATGTATCTCAGGCTGACCTTGAACTCATAGTGATCCTCCTGCCTCAGCCCCCTGAGTGCTAGCCTTATAGGCGCAGCTTCATTTTTTATTTCAAAGACTTTTACTTGTGTATAATTTATTTTGACTTAAGATCAAAAGTTATGCTCTAACTTTTCATTCTCCATGTTTTTAATAATATGTGCCAACACAATTTGTTATGTAGTCCATTCTTTGCTCCACTAAATTTGAAAGTATAACATAATTTCTCATGTAATACAAAATCCAGTCCATTTATTTATATTCATTACACACCAAAAATTCTTCTAACAATACATTTTCTAGTCTTTCTCAACTCTTATTTTCCCATTGATTCTCCTTCATCTCAGTTTTTGTTTCCTTATCCAAAAAGCCTTAAAATCTGCTGTGTTAAGTTGGCCCTGTAAAAGCTAAAAACAAAGTCTTGTGAGAGTTTTCAAAAGTCATCTCCCATCCTGACCCATCTTTAGTGAGATTAAATTGCTAATGTTATTTAATGGGGTTAAAGAAGGATAAAAACTAAAACTTGAATTGAGCCAATTAGTTATAAAAATTCATTCCAGCCTGATAATTTAATTGTTTACTTCTCATTACTTAAATAAGAACACAGATTTTGTGAGGACCACTGACATCAAAATTCTAGCTGTCTTACAAAGCTGTTTTTCTTTCTTTTTTTAAATTTAAAGATGAAAAACATTGATATACTAGCATGTTAGTCATATTTCTGTTGGTGGGATAAAATCACAGACATGCACAATTTAAAGGAAGGATAAAATTTTAAAAAATTTTATCAATACATATTTGCAATACATAAGGATTACATTCAGTGTGAGGGGTTGATACATAGATGTACTGCATCTTGATTATTTTTATTCTCCCTCCCTCAACCTGTGATCCTTTCACCTTTCTTCCCCAGATCCCCTTCCCATATCTACAAAGTCTACCTCCCTGTTTTTTTTTTAAAATATGGATCTTTTATTTATTTTGCTCTTTAAGTTACTTATGGAAGGATTTATTCTGGCTCATAGTTTTGGAGGTTTCAGGCCATAGTGGGCTGGCTCCAAGGCAGAACCATCAAAGCAGAAGTATGTGCATATATACTACCTTTTCTCTATTCGTTCACTGTTGGTGGATACAGGTTGGTTACATAGTTTATTTGAGCAGTTGTCTCTTTATGGCATTTAATTTGAATCCAGTCTTTTAATTTATATGTAAAGCTGAGACAAGCATCCTTGTTCACTGGTCTTTGCTTAAATGTCTGACATTTTCTTATGATAAATCCCTAAAACTAGAATAGTTCATTCAAAAAGGTGCTATGTTTTAAAGGCTTTTGATAGGTATTGTGCCAGGAAATTATCAGAGTTTCTTTCCTCACACTCCTACTAAAATAAAGTGTTCTCAAATCATTGCCTGTCTGTTAGGCAAAAAGAAAATAGTAATGCATATCTTAATTTGCATTTCATTGATTATTAGCAAGTCCTAATAATCCCTTTTTATGTAGAAAAAAGATTTTTCAAAGAATTGCTTTTTTCTGAGAACATCTTGACAAAAAATCAGCTCAATTTCAAAAAGAAAAATTGCAATGGAACAGATGCTTAGAGTAATTTAATTTAAGCAAATGGCTTAGTTAGTGACAATAATACCAGGCCAGCTTTAAAAATTATTGCCCAAATGCACTGATTACCAAAATAAAAGGAAAGTACAAATTAGTTTTAAATCTCTTTTGGCAAAAAGCAATAGAAAAAAAATCAATGGTAGACTGAACTCAGACCAAGGAAATCGTATCATTTTCATGTTGGACTTAAATCATCAAATGAAGGGATCAGTTTGTGAATACCTCAGCAGGTGTATAAGATGGTGCTAACAAGAAATGTGAAAGCAGACAAGGATTGAATTTAGGAAGACTCTGTGAAGCTTGTCAGCAGGAAGTATTTTTAAGTTTTACATTGATTTGAAAAGTTGTCTTTAAAAATAGAATTTGTACAAGTAGAAATAGCTTACATGCACTGGGAAAATTATCTTACTGACAATTTCATTTATGAATTTGGATGTTTGCATTCGAAACTTTCTTTAAAGAAAACCTACCTTTTTAATCATCTTAGGTTGTCTTCCTGTCCTTTTTCTAATTCTAAAAACATCATTTAAAATTAACCGAAATGGGGATATGTTAGGGCTTTATGCATATTGATTTAATCTAGACTTCTCAATATCCTGTCACTCCCCCTCCCCACATTCCTTCCAGTAATTGCTTTGTTAGCTTATCCAATCCAAGGATAGTTTCAGGCAAATTTAATCAGCATGTTTTTGTTTATGTCTACAGTAATGTCTTGAATGTTTTACACTCTTTCTTTGAAGTCTAGAGTACTTACAAAGTCATTTGAATATGGTGTTTGGATAAAATAAATAAAAAGTGAAACCATGTGTTTGGGGGTGAAGCACGATACTGTGCTCCCCTAAGATGTACAACCATGCCAAGGCTGAAAGAGATCTCCTTTGATCAAGTACAATTAAATCAGGCCAACTGACAAGAGCCTTCTTGAAAGAGGCCACACAATAAAACCACGTTATTCAATATTTGCTTTCCTTAGATTTGGTTTCATTTCCCTTCCTTCTCTTTCTCATATCTCACTCTTCCCCTAACTCCATGTACTGTGGTCACACTGATGTATACTCGGAGTTCCCCAAATATGTCAAGTAGTATCGCCCATGTGTGTATCTGCTCATCTGTTCTCTATGAGGAAAGGAGGTTGCCAGTTCATGGGCTGGATCTAGTCCTCAATGTGTTTTATTTGGACTTTGCTATGTTTTTCTTTTAAATTTGAGTCACTACTTTAAAAAATTCCATGAAATTCTGGATTTCTCAATTCATTTCAAAAATGGAGGCTCTAGAAATATAGTTTCTACTTTTATTCAAGATAGCATCAGGGGCAGCTGAGATTTCAGTTGCTCTTTCTAGAAGGAATACGCACTTTGACTTTGCCGCGGTTGAAAGAACAAATCTGGCCCCGTTCAGTCACTTATATTTTCCTGCTTGACTTCTTTGGGTTGGTTTGAGATTTCTGAGAGGAGATACAGATGATGAAAGTGTGAAAAAACATTTTATAATTATTTAATTAGGGAAACAACATAAGTATTTCACACATTAAGATTGTAAGTGCTTTAAACCCACAGGAACTGAAAATTTACCAGGTGGGTGTGAGAAAAAATAAATACATGAAATTAAGCACTATGCATTTAGAGACAAGGGACATAAGTTTATTGAATATTCATGGTGTACCAAGCACTTTTCTAGACTTTATATATACTAACATTTAATTCCCATGACAATTCTGATTAGGTGGTAGGTTTGGGGGTTTTTGGTATTGTTGTTTGTTTTTTGTTTTCATTACACGGGATTGAACCCAGGACTTACATCTGTGACCATTTTTTAATTTTTATTGTAGACAAGATCTTGCTAAATTGCTCTATTATCCAGGTCAGGCTTGAGTTTGCAGTCATCTTGCCTCAGTCTCCCAAGTAGCTGGGATTATCAGCATGTATTTTCTTAACTTAAAATGAGGAAAGTCCTAGAAAAGGTAAGCTAGAGGACTTGCAGCTGGAAAGTTAGAAAAACTGAAGTGTTTTAATATAGTATTATATTGTTAGACTTAAAGACAGGCTTGATCCAAAGTATGTTGTCTGTTACCTTTAGGCAAATCAGTTAAGTTCTCTGAATCTTCCTTTACTTCTGCCATAGTAATTCTTATCTGCCTTCTTGAAGAGGGAGATTGTAATGCACGGTGGTGGGCAGTGAATGTGAAAATGCTTAGCAGGAAGCAGTCAGAAGTTCCCAGGGAAGGGTCTGGGATTTAGCTCAGTGGCATAAATGCCTGCCTTGCAAGCAGGCAGTCATGAGTTCGATCCCTGGTACCAATAAAAAAAAAAAAAAAAAAACGGAAGGGTCATTAGTCTGACTCATTAAATTGTATTTCACTGGTGCACTGGTTGAGTTACTCTCACCAGTGCAGCTCTTTCCAGCCTGTAGTGGGCCTATAAATCACCTGATGATCTTGTTAAACCATAGACTCTGACTCAGTACATCTGTGCTGCAGTTCAAATTTCTACATTTCTAATGAAATCAGAGATGTTCCTGAGATTGCTGGCCTGGGAACCAAACTCTGAGTCACAAGAAAATACTCAAAGATAATACTCTGCATTATCGTATCAGTTGCAAGGGTCTGGATCTTCTCTTCTGTTTGTGCCTTCTACTCACCAGCAGTGCGACTTCTCAGGCTTTCTCTCCTGTCCATGCTTGGGGCCTCCCACAGGAAGCTGGTGGCCTTGGGCAGGATTCTAGTAGGCATTTATTCATCCACAAATGAATGAATGTACTGGGCTCCTACTCCATGCCTCAGTTTCAGTGCCAGGCATTAGGTCTGTTGCTTCAATATCATCATAATATCCTTTTTCTAAGTTTTTAGATTAAACTCTTATAGAATTATTCGTTTATATGATACTAGAAGTAAGCTGAGGGACAAATAGAGATATTCTATCCTTTGTGTGAATAAGGATTATAGCAGACACTGTTTATTACCCATTCAAAGTCAGTTCCCAATTCTTCTCTTTTTTTTCTTGCTGATAGGAGCTGTTTTTGTTTGTTTGTTTCATCTGTTATTTTCCCACAGGGTAGCAGAGTTGTGCTAGAATCAGCTCTTATGAGCTCCTGAGAAGTTATTGCTAAATTTTTAGGAACTTTGAGAATGTTAAACAATAATTATTAAAACAAAATATAAATTTACAACGTAATTACATTTAAAAGGCAGTACTTAGCTGTGTGTGGTGGTATGCTGCCATAATCTCAGCACCTGGGAGGCTGAGGCAGGAGGACTGAGTGTTTGAGGCCAGCCTGGGGTACTTAACAAGTTTAAGGCCAGCCCAGATTATGTAATAAAACCTTGTCTCAAAAAGAAAGGACTCAAAATTCATCAGTTCCAAATGATTTTCCTAAATTTTACTGTTGTCTGTGCTCTTAAGATTATCCTTACCTTATATCTATGTGATGGAAAGAATAGAAAACTACTGTGCATCTCTTCTAAACTCTATGCCCAAGGATGTAACACTGGTAACTTGAGATTTACCACAATGAGTATATTTATAGTACAGAAATTGGCACAGTCTATAAATCAAGAATTAGAGGGTTTTTTTTGCCTGAATGAGCCAATTACTAAACATTGCCAGTATACTATTGGGTAGTCCTATTTCTAAATTCAAGGAAAAATTCTAATTTATCTAGATTAGACATGGTACTCTATTTTCTATCCCTTAGGCCTGTAAACCAATTCTGACCAATGAAATATGAAATTTGTCCTGCTAGAGAGTTCCTTGTAAAGTTTTTCTTCTAAAAAGGAGATACATGTTAGTAATTTTTTTTTTTGGTCATTTGAGATCTGGCTGTGATTTATCTAGATTTACAACAGCTATCACATGTCAACAGCAAGGCAGACAAACATGTTACACTAATAGGCATTTTATTTGCTTTTTAAAAAATTTCTACTTTTTGGAATTGTGTTCAGAGGGAAAAAAATTCAATATGCCTGTTTCATATGTTTTCTTCTAGAGGGGACCCCAACAGATGTGACATCTGGGGAAATACTCCTCTACATTATGCTGCCTCCAATGGCCATGCCCACTGTGTCTCATTCCTGATCAATTTTGGTGCCAACATCTTTGCCCTGGATAATGACTTAAAGACTCCCCTGGATGCTGCTGCCAGCAGGGAGCAGAGCGAATGTGTTGCCCTCTTGGATAAGGCTGCCACTACCCAGAATGCTATAAACCCCAAGAAGGTCACCAGGTTGAAGGAGCAGGCTCAGAAGAATGCCAGGAGGCAAATCAAAGACTGTGAAAAGCTCCAGGAGAAGCATCAAAATAAGATGGCCCAAGCCTACAGTAAGGAGGAATCTAGGACTCTTCCTTCTGTCAAGGGCACCTTCTCCAGATCATCCTTCTCAAGTGCTTCTGCTTCTAGCACATTTGGATCACTCTCTAAGGGCATTAAAGATACCTTCAAGATGAAGTTCAAGAAAAACAAAGATACAGCAGAACAGATGAGCAATGAAGGCAGAAGTGGGCAGAGGAATGTGATGGAAGTGTTCAGAGAGGAGGAAGAAGAGTCATTACCAGGAGGCTTCAAAGAGAAGCTCACATTCTCAGCAGAGGAGGACAGCAGTGTACAACATGAATCCATTCTCAGCCGTCCAGGTCTTGGAAACATTGTTTTTAGGCGGAACCGAGGGTTAGGCTCTGAAGATCTCTCAGACAGCAAGAGAGAGCTGGAGTTTAAAATGCCCAGTGAACTGCTCCAGAGACAAGGAAGGGCAGAGGCTGATGAAGCTGAGGCTGAAGAGGCAGAGGAAAATGGCCCTGTAGGTGATTTGCCTTGGGATGAGGATGAAGTGGAGTGGGAGGAAGATGTGGTGGATGCAACTCCCCTGGAAGTGTTTTTGCAGTGCCTGCACCTGGAAGAATTCCTTCCTATTTTCACAAGAGAGCAGATTGATCTGGAAGCTCTGCTGCTTTGTTCCGATGAGGACCTTCAGAACATCCAGATACAGCTGGGTCCCAGGAAGAAAGTTCTTAATGCCATAAATAGAAGGAAGCAGGTGTTGCACCTGCCTGGGAAGCTGGTAGACACCAGCCTCTGAAGGACATTACTGGGTCAACAGGATGAGCCTGCAGCAGCAGGAGATGCTCTGGCTCATGGAAAGCACTCCAGGCCACACTCTTTACTTACCCAATGCCATACCCCTGGGAGCCCATTCTAGGGTATTCCCATCTAAGAAAGAAGCCCAGATTCGACTCTTAGAAATACCTAGGCCTATCCAAATTAACCATCAATGAGAAACTCAAGGGTAACCTGGAATAAGAGCTGGGCTTTTCTTTTCAATTATCGTTTTGGTATTTTTGAATAAAGAGTTGCATGTATGATAGAAAAGGGGAAGGAATTTTCATTACTCTTCTAACTTTTGGATATAAAATGACCATTTATCATTACACTATCCTACTTGTTGATACAGGCAGCCTGGGGATTCTAAGCCTGGTTCTGTCCTTAACTCTATAACTTTGCTTGTCATTGGACATCAAAGTTCTTCACTGCCTGAGGCTTGACAATTAGCTTATATGCACCTAACCCTTAAACAGAGAGGCAAGAAACAAAGAATAGTGTTCCATTGGTAGACTGAATTATGTCCCTCTTAAAACTCATTATGTTGGGGCTCTGACACCCACACTGTTTTTGGAGATAGGTCTTAAAAATTAAGTGGTATGATAAGGTCAGCATCCTCCCATATGACTGATCTCCTATATGACTGATAAGAAAAGGACACTATACCAAAGATGTGATCATACAGGGAGAAAAGATCATATAAGGATACAGCAAAAGAGTGCTGTCTGCAACCCACCGAAAGAGATCTCAGGAGAAACCAAACCTGCCAACATCTTGATTTTGGACTTTCAGCTGCCAGAAGTGAAAAAATAAATTTCTGTTGTGTAATTCACTCTGTCTATTGATGTTTTGTTGCACAGCCTGAGCTGACTAACACAATGCATAAGTGAGGAGGTGGTAGAAGAGAGAAAGAAGGATACAGAAAAACACAAATATGACCTATTTGATGACTTCTCTAAGTGCCTCCTGAAACGTAAAAAAAAATTAATTGTAGGGAAGATTTCCTTCTAAAACTAAATTCTACATTTTTGCACTTATGTTTCCTGTTTACTGTTGTCTATTACCATTGCTACATATAATATGTTCAGTTTCCATGATATAAATTGGCAGAGTTGCTGACAGTTTTTGAAAGGTAACCCCAATTCCAAATTGAAGCCCTGCTTAATAGCTAAATTTCATTGGATTTTTGTAGCCAGAATTACATCAAGAAGAATCTACCATTGATTATGTGTTTTATATAAACAGCTGTTTGTTTTCAGCAAGGCTTCTAATTCATATATGTTTAGGTTAGAGCAAGAGGCATCATGAAGGATATACTCTATGAATGATACCGGTACTCAAGTCTGATAAACAATGGCTCATTCTTTGATGAACGTGTTTAGGAAGTTTGCTGGTCATTAAATATATCGCACTAGGGGATAATTACGTTTACAAATACTGTGTTTTATTCAGTAATAAACTGAAGTTGTATTATTTTCAGTAACATGCATGAAAGTTGTTTGTAGACAGAGGACATTCAAAAATGTTTGTAGTCTAAAGCTGCTTCTATTATATGCCATTATTGTACCTACTAGAATCCTCTCTTCACAAATTTCCCAGAATCTTCTTGTAGTACTATTTCTACTTCCAGACCAAACTTACATGATAAAAAAATCAGTTGGCTTGGGAGAAATGAGCCTAAACATGTGGGTCTTAGCATTTCAAGAGGGAGATACTAAGCACCAGACAGTTCTGTGCTCTTCCTAGGGACTCACAGTCTCCTACTGTTTACAGAATTAATAAGTGAGGGGCTTTCCCAGCCTTTTAGCATTGAAAATATAACTGCTTCATCATGTAGAATTATGCTATAAAGAAGGTTTATACCAAATTTTAGAAGATTATAAATTCTCCTGGAATTCCAGATCTTTCAACCTACATCCCACCACCAGCACCAAAAGGAGTCTAAGAGAATAACTTAGGACAACACAAAGGCAAAGACAGTATGAGCCAGTACAAGTTTCAGATCCTCACTGATCTCAAGCCTCCATTCCTTAAACTAGATGCTTACAATGGTTCAATACAGTGGCATCTGCTCCTCACCCAAACACCTAATTTTTCCTCTCCTGCTTAGCCTGATATAAAAATTAATAAGCAAGACAAGCCACCAGGATCATTTCACTAATGACAAGGTTTGAGAAGATATAGGGGGGTAAGTGGTGCTTATATTTCAGGCCATCATGTAAATATAAGTGAGTTACATGCTCATAATCCTATCTGAGTCACAAGCCCAAATGATTTGTTTGGATTCTACGTCTGAAGCCCAAATCTTATCTGACATCTCCCCTTAAATGTTCCACACATATATCAAACTCAGTATACCCAGAACTGAACACATTTTCTCCCAAATCAAGTTCTTAACATGAATAGTTTTGCCAGTAGACACCTGGCAATGTCTAAAGATGGTTTTGATTGTAGTTAGTTGGATGGGAGAGCTACTAATGTCAGGTGAATAGAAAGAATGGATGGTAAACATCATACAATGTATAAGGCAGCCTCTACAACAAGGACTCCTCCACACCAAATGTTGATAGTGGTGAGGCTGAACACTACCACCAACACAGGTCAAAATCTCCACTTTTTGATGAATGGGAAGTTTAACCCAACACTTCACCTTTTCTTTACCTTCATCACCCAACTGGTCACTTAGGTCCCTTCAATTCCTTAATATGTCTTAAACATAAGTTATCTTCTATGTTTGCAAGATCACTACTTGTTTCATGCCCCTCTCTTTGCTCGCTATATTGAGTATCCTATCTAGCTCTAATTTGTTCTCTATAGTGCTAGTTGAGTGATCTTTCTAATATGCAAACCCTCTCTTGGAATTTTTTGCCTTCCCATTGCTTTTTGGGCTGCCAACATCACACATAAAAGTCTTGCAATCAGAGAGCCCTCTTCTCTCTTTCAAGCCTTTGGTCTCATTTCTGACCATTCCTCCTTGTCCCCTAATTATAACCACACCAGATTTGTTTGTTTTTGTAGCTTCCAGAATATATTATGCTTTTCTTATGCCTTTGCCTTTGTTCAGCACCATCCCTCTCCCTGGAAAACCCTTTCTACCATACAGACAGACAGCCCCACTGAGAGATTCACCTGCTCTCTTACCCCTGGATTGGTTGGTGCTCATTCTAGCTGTGCAGACTGATTTCTGTTTGTCCCTACAGAATGTCTAATTACCATCCTGCTGCCTTCAGGTGGGTGACTTCTGTAGGTTACATGAAAGAGCTCCTTTGTCTTGGGCTTCTGCTTGGGTCTAGCCAATGGGAGATACCAATAGGAGACCAAAAAGTGAAAGTGGGAGATATTAGGGTATTCATTCATCTGTTTCTTCCATGCAGGGTATATAGTTCCTTAATCTAAGCTGATAGCTCCATTTTTTGATGTGTTCCACTAGCTTCTCATTCAACTTATGAGTGGAGTAGCTTTCTGCTATTGCCAGCCATTGGGGACAATCTTTCTAAATGATCTTCATTAACTCTTCACTCGTGCCTCTTACTGCTGGGGACTCTTATTTCATCTGTTCCTGTAATACTCAACGCATTGTACTGTGATTGTCTTTTTACATATTTGTTTTCTGGATTATGTGTTCTTTAGGGTGTGAGGATTATTTATGTTCTTGTCTGTCTTAGTAGCCTCATCTGGAGTAATGATAGGGGCTCTTGAGGAAAGAATGAAAGAAGAAATACATGAATAAATACAGTAGTGCTTAGGCTCACAAACTTAACTTGCTTTATGATTTTAGAAAAGATGGCCATGTTTATATTTGCATGAAAAAGATGGCCATAATTGTGTTTGTTACCCAATGCAGAATTTGCAAGTAAAAACAAAATTTTGCCAAATGCTTCTGTTTGTGAACCAAACTGTTTGCAAACAAGAGCATTTGTGAACCAAGGCACCACTGTATTTCCATCATCATACACATTTCTCTATATGTCCTGTAGGATTATGATCATCAAGATCACCAGGAAGACCCAACAGTCACTTGAGATATGCAGAATTAGGTCACATGGGTATTTTAGTTCAATATAAAAGTCCCAAGCAGTGTGGTAAACAGTTTAACTTTTGGCTAAGCTACCTGTAGTGTAAAGAAGTCCTGCCAAATGGAATATATGTAGAAAAGCAAAGTTAGATAATGTACTTTGCTTTTCTGTTGACTTATCTAATAACCACCCTTGGAATTGATGTTGGTACTAGATCAGACAGGCTTTTGCGGGGAACACTGGAAACTAGTGACTTGGATCTTGGGTATAAGCATCCCTGCAACTCCATTTCTACAACCTTATGCTGACATTGGAGTAGATGATTCCTAATGATCCTATCAACACTGATCCTGTAGCAGACAGGTAGATCTGGCCTTCTACATATCCAGCTATCCTTTATCTGTCAATTCATGTGATCAGATAGTTCAGTTTCACAGTTGACATCATGGGTGGGCATGTGTCCCTTATCCCTCAACAAGGATTTCAGGTCCCCCTAGAAAATTCAATGATTTAGAGACATGTACAAAACATAAGCCTGGCCAAAGGCAGTGTTCCATATCTTTCAGCTCAGACATTAGGCTCAGAAATGAGCACATGACCTTCTAGATGGTCCGGTGTGTCTCAGTCCTGGACTTCTGTTTGTTTATGCTAGGGTTGATAAAGAGAACAAGGTGTATACTTGAAGAGCTGTTGGCATGTCCTACCATCAGAGGAAAACATGCTGAATAATGGAGCCAGCATTGAAGAAAGCAGAACAAGACTGGTTTCTAAAGACACTTTGGAGCCTCTGGATACAGCTATAGCTGGAAGCAGTCACCTGTTTAATTCTTAATAACAAGAGCCAATAAATTCCATTCCCCACTTATTCATTCACTTTAAGGTAGATAGAGATGTGGTCTCTACTACTTGAAACCCATGGAATCTAGATTTATAAAGAAACTCCACCCCTCCTTTAAATATTAAGACAGACACAAAAGGCTATATATGTAAGAAATTTCCAGAAGGGATAAATTCATAGAGGTGGAAAGCAGACTGGTGGTTTCTAGGGCCTGGCAGAGGGGGACCTGGGTAGTGACTTTAATGGGCACCATATCCTTTAGAGTGGTAAAAATGCTTTGGAATTAGACACTGTGATGGTTGCACAACTATGTGAATATACTAAAACCATTCAATTTTACACTGTAAAATTGTGAATTATATTTCAGTTTTAAAAAGCAGAAAAACTTTTCATTATATTCTTGGAGATCCTTTCTGGGAGTGAATGAGAACACTTTTTTTTTAAGTACTGGAGAGTGAATCTAGGGCTTTCATACTAAAGTACACCATCATCACTTTTTTATTTTTAATTTTGAGACAGGGTCTTACCAATTTGCTAACTTTGCCCAGGCAAGAAATCCTTCTTCCCCAGCCTCCTAGATGCTGGGATTTTAGGCATGTGTCACCATGCCAGCTGAATGGAAGCACTTTATTTCCATCACTTCCTTGCCATAAGAACAGAAATTACTGAAGCAAATATGCAGAATTGGAAAAGCTTTATCTCAGGGAAATCCAAAGTTAGTGGAACACCAATGGAGAGAATGCAAATACAACCTGGTATAACAGAAGAAATAGGTATCAGGTTTTGGGTTCCACCTACAGACATGAACTCAGTGTTTAAAGCACGACATGAAGAGCACAAAATTATAGTTCACTGGGGCCTGGGCTCTCTCATTTAATCTGGAAATACTGCAGTATCCATCTCAACACAGAGCTTCTTTGTTTCATTTACCAGATGACCAGGAATCGTATATTAGTTTGGCTGCAACCATGTCTTCCACTGCCATCCCTGGAAAACAGACATTTGGTTCACTTTTTGTCAGAAAAAAATTTGTCTGAAGCAAATCAGGCCCTGTGGCTAGCAGTTCATAGATGCACTGTACACACTGTTAATGCCCCACAGGACACTACGAACTGGTACCTAGAGGTAAGTGTAGGCTTTGGTAGTCTGCAAAGGGCAGATTAAAACATTAAATATGATACTAACCCACTAGTTTAACCCACTAGTTTAGTGGGTCAGCATAATTTCAGTAAAGGCTTAGGCGGGAAATATTTTAAGCTGTCTGGGTTACATGGCCTCTGCCACAGCTACTCAACTTTGCCCTTACACTGGACAAGCAGCCACAGATGACAGGGAAACAAATGACCTTGCCTGTGCTCCAATAAGACATTATTTAGGGACTAGAGGTTGAATTTCATATTATTTTCATGTCTCATGAAGTATTCTTTTGGGTTTTTTTTCCCTAATCATATGAAAATATAAACATCATTTCTAACTCATGGGCTACACAAAAACAGGTTGGTGGGTAGGTTTGGCCCACAGATTTGCTGATGCCTGGCCTAGTTGCAACCTCCTTAGCATTACCCTCTTATCATTTAGGTTGAACACCCCTAATCTGAAAATTTGAAACCCAAAGTACTTTGAAATCTGAAATGTTTTAAGGGTCAGGTTGGCACTGCAATTTTGAAGCATTTCAAACTTTCAAATTAGGAATACTCCGCTTGTAAAAGTCTATGCAAATATTCCAAAATCTGAAACATTTCTGGTCTCAAGAATTTTGGATAAGGGGTATTCACTTTGTAACTTTGGATACTACCTTGATCTTTGCACCCAGAACAGATACATAAAGGTGATAATACGCATCTGTTAGTGAAAGGATATCCCAACAAGCCAATCCTCCCCCCCCAAAAAATTGCTTAAAAACAGAGAGCAGATTTCTGCATGTCTTGCCTCCTTAGGAAAGCTGGCTGATCTCTGACCTGTTATAAACTCTGAAACTTCCAGACATAACTAGATGGGTGGGCAGCACCGAACCAAGTTCTGGATACCTATCTTCCAGTGCATGAAAGACTTAGAAATATTTAACAACCAGTAAGGAAGGGACAGTAACTAATGGCATCAATGCTGTGGACAGACACTCTTAATGCCCTGCACAAAGTTATAGCTTTCATTTCTTGATTATGAAAAAGTACAGAGGGTCTTAAAAGAGGGACAAAAGGCATTCTTGAAGGGCTCAGGGGAACCACTGACCAAGCAGTTTGAGAACATCTGTCTTTTGGCGTAGCAGCTGTTTATTAGGTTGCTCCTATATGTTTCTATTTTCTTAATCTTGTAGATTGGAAGAGCTGAGCTATGGGGAAGACTAGCCCCTGGGAGTTCACCCTTATTGAGTTCCCTCTCCCTCCAGTTCAGATATTTTGGGGTTCTCCATGAAAACCTTCCTCCACGTAGCAAGGGGTGGCATAGGAAGGGAGGAAACGAAGAAATCAAAGTTCAACCTTGTCTGAATCCCTTTCAGATTAGAGATCTGTCATTTTCCTTAAATTCTCATCTTTTAACATCTTTATCCCCTGCTTCCCCATCCACCTCTGAGGGATATCTCCTTCTGAGCTTCATTTATATCTAATGCTAAATCATTCATCACTGACATTTTCTATGTGCAAATCATTTTTCATGCACATTTTACTTAATCCTCACAATTTAAGGCAACAGACAAGTGGCAAAGAAACTGTCCAAGGACACACATCTAGGACATGGCAGAGAAGGTACTCTAAACCAGGACTGCCCAATTCCAGAGTTCAGGGGCTTAATCACAATGCTAAGACATGTAAATCATTGACCAGGATGATAGATTTTACAATCAGCTACAGAGCCTGGTGACTCATTAATTTTTCTAGTTGATTAACCTGCCTTGTGCTTTAGTTGGATTTGGGCCTGAGGATCTTACCCAAAGACTTGAACACTGTGGTCTTCTCACAGTGGGCTGACTTCACTCCATTGATCACTTCTCCCAGCTCAGCGAAGATCTCAGCCTATGAAACAAATGCACACTGAACCAGGTCTGAAGCAAGTCTGAAATGGATAAGCATCAAATTGGATTTTAAAAAGAAGGCCTGCATGATATCAGGAAGATGTTGCCTCCTGAAGTCCTTTTTTGGCTAGCCTCTACCTTTTTAATGCCATGTATGCAGAGATCCAAGTTTATACTTACAGGGCTGGTCTGCCAGGTCCCTGTATCGAGTGATAGAATAGGCATAGTCTCACCCGAACATGCATTTTTAGCAGCTCCCTTCTTGCTTCTATGCCCTGATTACAAAATGGAAAGGTAGTCTAGGAGGCCAGCTACAGTTCTATTGTGCTGGCCATATGGGAATTCTTAAGGCTGCAACAGGCTCTGTCCCATCTCCCAACCCCACTGCTCCTAGCACAGCCTAGTGGCAAAATCCCTCAAGTTTCTCCTTCCAGCTAGAGGGGAGAGGAAAATGCATGCCATTTGCCACAATAACTACATTTTTGGGAGGATGAGATTAAAAGGGGTTTTTCTGGGATGAGATTAACAGAGGCTTAGGAGCTTCTTCCCCACCAGCTGAGATGTCTGAGGTCTGGAGGAAGCTAAACTTCAGGAGAAGACAGTGACACCGTGAGATACAGTTGGGCCAACTAGGCACAGCCCTGATAGGTGAGAAGATGCTCACCCCTGACAACAGCACATCTCCTGATTCTTTGAGAGCAGCCTCTCGGGAATCCACATACAGCACTGCCTGCTTCATGAGCTCGTCATCCAATTCTCGCCAGTCGGGTCTGCTGGCTCCAACCGCTACAAGATAGCAAAACTGAGCCTCAGCCAAGAAAAGTCCCAAGGGATACCAGTAGGGACAAGATATAGGTGAAACACAAGCAAAGAACGCATGGGAGTGATTCGATTAGGAATATCACCTCATTCCCTGAGCAAAGCTCTACCCCATCTGTGAGACTGAAGACCATTAAAAATGATACCATTTTTTCTCTTTCTGTTTCATATCCTAACTCATTCCTAAAAGATTTTCACATCATTTAGCATCATTTATTGGGTACTTACAGTCTGTGAGATGTTTCACATATACTATTTATGATCCTCACGAATATATTACAGTGTCTGATTCAACTCCCAGTTAACAGATACACAAATTGCGGTTCTGAGAAGGAAAGGCACCTGCTAAGGTTATGTGTACAGCATCACTAAATCTATGTCTGAGAAAATGCCCTAGCTTTCATTTAGGTATCTCTGCTGCTTATTGGCAGCAATATTCTTACAAAAACCCTGACACACAGACATCACTTGGAGCATATTTATACCCCAAACTCTTCTGTCTGTTTGTTCTCCAGTCAGTCTCATTCCTCACTCTCAAATGCTTTCCTCCTAACTCATGACAAAAGAGCCCAGTGTCATGGTCACAGAGAAACCCCAGGAAAAGAAAACGCCTCTTCCTAGCCTTGAGCATTCACATCCCCTGCAGAGCCCTGAACCAAAACAATGAACCTATCACATCACAACTTCCTGCCACAAGGACAGATGCTAGCAAAAGCCTGCAGAGCCAGGCAGGTAATGAAAAGGAGCAAGGTCCACAGAGAGACTGGACTGGAAATGGTGGCAATCTCGGTACATGAAACCTCCTCATGGTTTCAGCTAACCAGGGCCATGTGTGAAAACATGTCCACTGTTACCAAATATTCCCATTAGATAGAGAAAGGGAGGGAGACAGAAAGAGACAGAGAAAAACAGAGAGAGAATATGAATCAATTTGCATGTGTTATTTCTTGATTTCTCTGTGGTCCAAACAAAATATTTGTGCTGACTGGATCCTGTTGGGGGCAGCTAGTCTTTGAAAATGACTATAAAGCCAAATCCAAACATAAGACGGAGTCTGTATGCCTTCTTGCATTGCCACCCCTTTCTCCACTTCTTCCTTCTCCTGCTTCCTCCCTCACACTAATTTCCAAAGAAAGTGTTATAAGAATGTCCATCTTGAAGTCTGTTTATGTGGAGAATTCTACACAAAAAGCTGAAGCTTGCAAATAAATCATAAACTGGTGAGGAAAAAAAAAAAAAAACAGTTTCTCAAGCTGCCCCTCATTGCATTTCTCTCCCCACACAGCCACTGCCTAGGAGCAGTCTTGTTTTCAAAGGGTTGTGTGAGGCCACTCAGGCATATGGAGGTGGGCCAGGCAGCAAAGGAAGGGCCTGGCTCAGCTTGGACTCTGGCTTCCTTCAGTGTTGTTAGAGAGTGAGGGTCAAGGCTGGGTAGGGTAGGGTAACGGGATGAAGTGTGAGGGAGGTTGGACTCTGCCTGCCTCTTGGCTGAGTGTAAACTAAATATAATCTGGGGTGGGGTTTTGTGTGTGTGTGTGTGTGTGTGTGTGTGTGTGTTTTCCTGTCATCTGTGTCTGTGACATGCATTTCTTAAGTATATTTGAGGCCTCTGAGGACACATAAAGCAATTTTGTCCTTAGACTAGGGAAGTAGAAGATTTACGATTCAAAATCAAGTCCAAAGGGAGAGATCCAAAGTATGTGATAGGATCCAATGTGAGGGATTCTTTCTTGCTGGCTTTGAGGATGGAGACGGCACAGGACAGGGAATGTGAAAGGTCCCTAGAAACTGAGGGTTGCCCTGAAAAAGTGGGGTCTGTCCTACAATGTAGAGAACTGAACCACACCCTTGTGAGCCTGGAAGAGGCTCCTGAACACCATGTGAGATTACAGTCTAAACAGCACCTGGTTCATCCTTGTGAGACTGCAAGCAGAAGCCCCATTTAACCCATGTCAGACTTGCAGCACACCAACTGTGAGATGATGATGTCTTCTTTTAAGGTGGAAAAAGAAATCACTTCAGTTTTGCTGGATTCAGCTGTATCCCCAGGAACCCCCTTCACTAAGAACTGATTCCTCCTGATTGCCCAAGTCCTTCCAGAAGTAGATTTATTGTCCAAAAAAACAAGCCCTGACCCACCCTCTTAGCTATATCATAACCAGTCTCACACAGGCTAAGACCTCCAATTTACTTTGGCTCATTCCTCAAACATGCCATGTTCATTTCATCCTCAAGGCCTTTGCATTTGTTGTTCTGTCTGCCTGGAATGCCTGTGCTGTATCTCTTGGCTTGGCTGGCTCTTTCTTCACAGGCTTATCTTCAGCAGGAACTCTTACTGTGTTTATGCATTTGTTGTCTTATCTCCCCTCATCAGAATGTAACCACCAGGAAAACAGTGGCCTGGAGAGCTCATGTGGGCAAACCCAGCATGAACAAATCCTGGCCCATGGTTGAGACTCAATAAAAAGATGCATAATCACTTGGCGTGGTTCCTGCTTGCTTACCTACCTGCCCATGTGCCCAGAACTCTTAGTTCTGGGTCCATACCATGTGCTTCTAACTAAATTATCAAATCCTCTAGTCTTTGCGTGCTCTGTTCACCAAAAGCAATTTCTTTTTTCTAGTCTCATTATTGGAAAATAATACCAAGTAATGTTCAACAGCTTGGGTTCTGAGGACAGACTGCCTTTGCTCTAATCCTAGCTCTTTTTCTTCCTTTGGCCTTGGGGAAGCTATTTAATCTGTCCATGCCTTCGTTTACCCATCTATAAAATGGGGATCACAATAAGTAAGGTTCCTATATCACAGCGTCCTTATAAAGATTATATGACACAGTGTACATTGGGAATGTAGAACAGTACCTGTAATAGAAGTATCAATTCTTTTTGCAAGCCCCTGAGGCCATTAGGAAACCTAAGACCAAGGTATACTCATGTTTAAATTGCCTCATCCTAGCACAAATATTCAAAAGAATGCACATATTACATTCAGTGTCTTTTGCATTGTAATTTTTTGGGAAAAGTTTTGTAGTTCTAAGTGTTAAAACAAATGACTCACTAGACCTCTGGGATCTAAACTTCACCACAACTAAGAATGAAGCTGTGATTGGCCATTTGTCATGACAGTACACTTTACAGAACATTGGTTACTGAAATATTTATCAGTTTCAGATTTGTAATTCCCTGGTCATATTTTGGGATACAGTTTTTCAAAGATCACACAATCCAAGGCTCTTATAAAGCTTGCATAATGAGGAAATAATGCATAATGAGGAAACCAGCTCTGCAGACATAGGCCTTATATCTGTTGAGTCTAGGGAGGAGTCTGACCACCACTCACCTCTGGCTCATGAAGACTCTCTACTTACCATTGATGTGGGCCCCTGGCTTCACCCATTCACCAAATAAAATGGGCTCTGTTGCCATGGTGACTGTGATAATCACATCAGCGCCCGTCACAGCCTCTTGCACTGACGAACAGACCCGTACCTTTCCTTGTACTGTATTTGCAAACTTCTCTGCATTTTCTTTGGTGTGGTTCCATATTCTCACCTTCAATGGGGACAGCAAGCAGGACACTCATGCCATGTAACATAAAAGCTACACTGAACTCAAGGGTACCAAAGGAAAGCTGAACCACTCTGGTGTAGGGCCTTTGGTTATCTACATCACTCTCTACAGAGAACTTGATCCAGGACCCAGTATTAACCTGAGCAGAAACTGGCCAGGTAATTAAAAATGGTATTTTCTTCAAATTTCCCCTTTAAAGAACGAGGGGATTTTTTTTATTTTTAGTTCTAAGCCAGGACACATAGCCTCAGTGGCTTAATAGGCACTATACAATTGAATGATTAGTAGAGCAAGATCTGCAGCCAGGCAGACTTGGAATCAATCCTTGCTTTGTCATTTATTGTTCCTGAAATGACTTCACCTCATTCAGCCTTAAGTTTCAGGTCTGCAAAATGGAAAGACAACCCAGTAATGTCAGTATTGAATTCACACCTCTTTAGATTCTGTGAAGGCGTCATAGGACTGGGGACACAGCTCAGTGTGTCCCTAATATTTGCCTAGCATGCACAATGCCCTATGTTCAATCCCCAGCACCACAGGAAAAAGAGTCACTGTGATAACGGGTACAAGGATCATAAGATTATTTACGGCAGCAGTTTGCATGGAAAGGAGTTGCGATCTACAGTTGGGAAGATAGTTGATCTCTGAAGGGTATGTAAGGATTCAAGATCAAAAGCATTTGAAGGTGAATGATATAGTGGTTGAAAAGGTCAAGAGTGTAGCTACAGTTAGAATCATGGAAGACACTGGTGAGGGTTGTCATCTGTGTCACCAGGACCTGGGGACTTAATAGCTTGTTAACAGGTTTCAGTGTTTGGATCATTTTTAAATGGCAAATAAGGTTTAAAGAACGTCTTATAAGAAAATATAAAAATATAGAAAGCTCAACAACTAAGGTAAAACTGATACATTATGCCTAGATGTAAGAGACTGGCTAACCATGTGACATTTCTTGATAAAAGAAAAACGAGGCAAATTTTATATAAAAATTAGATAATCTGGAAAAGTGATGTTAGAACATGTAAAGAAAAATTGAGATATACATTCGTGCATATCTACTGTGATCAAATCTATGTTATAAAAAGCTGATGAGAGGAGCCTAGAAAACATTAGCCGCTTGTCTTTGAAAATAGATACAAGGGTGTTTTATTTTCTTCTTTGTAGTTTATATTTCCCAAAGCAGAAATATTATTTTATCAGAAAAATAATCTGTTCCACTGCTCATATACATACAGAAAATAAAATAATAATAACATCAAATATTCTGAGTAGGAAGCATGAGCTATGACAGGGGGAAGGTGGGCCAATCTACAGATTGCAAAAGGAGGGTGGCTATAGCCTCTTGCGGGTGAGGCCTCATCCCTAGTTTCTGGATGCATGGCCCTGAATACTTAAAACCTCCCAGATTCTCTGAAGAGAAGCACAGAGGAGGGCTGAAAAGACAACTCATATATGGTAGCTAAAATAGTATCCTTTAACTAAGGAGCAGAATTGCTGTGTCCTTAGGTTTAAGACCTGTGAACTAAGAAACTGAAAAGAGGTGACCAGACTTCCAACGCTTCACTTCCATCACCTCCAGTGGGGCTGGTAGGAAACTCATTAAGGTACAGAACCATCTAGGTGGATTCTTTACCAAATTATTTCAGAACAACCCATGTTGCAATGAAGGAGAGTACAGACAGAGGACACTGGTCATGTCTTCCCCTTATCTACCCTGAAACCCCGGATCCCAACTTACCTCCTTAAAGGGGAACTGCTCTGTGAAGATCTCATAGTGGCTGTAGGCCTGGACACCAGCCCCAAGGATGCACAGCACATCACTGCCAGGAGGTTTCAAAAACTATTTGAGAGAAATGAGGAAGAAAAGGTCAAAGGAGACCCTGGTTACCAGGTGAAAACAAATACTGTACAGTTTAAATATCAGGTGGCTTCTACCATTTCTTCAACTCCTTCAAGAGCTTGTGGGCAACTGAGACTGTGTGTCTCAGTTTCCCCTCCATTGACTGGGGAGCAAACGAAAATGCCTTCACTGAACACCTGATATATGCCAGTGCTTTACCCCCTTGATCTCATTTCCTCTGGACAAGGACCCTATGAGCTGGAGATTCCTATTGTTGTTCTCTTTTTACAGATAAGGAGATTGAATTCCAGAGAGGTTACATAATTTCTGAGTTCAACAACTTCACTGCAGTACTAAATGCCCTAGTAGAGCTCCAAAATCACATTCTATAACCTACTCCTGTGTTCTTCTCACCATGCTACATCACCTCAGGTGTCTACTGAGCAACTCCTACTTTTCAGAGCCCTGACCTGCTTCTAAGAGCTCCCTGGAATCCTTGAACTATTGTAATATTTTCTGGGTCTAGTCTCTTCTGGTTCTTTTACTTCCTTTAAAGATAAATATACCTGGCTTTTGTGACACCTCCTAATGGTATATATGTACCCATTGGAGAGTAGGATGTTGTGATTAACTTCTACCAAGTGTTACCTCTCCAATGAAGTCTTTTGGGCCTCCCCAGTAGAACTCACCACTCTCTAGCACTTGCTTATAGCTTTATTTTCTCATTTGGGTCTTTAAGTCACTGAGAACCAAAGTAGTCTTATTTGCGAAGAAACAGCACATGGCTATTATGAGCCCCACAAAGTAGGACAAGATTTCTCAATCTTGGAGAATCTGAAATTTGAGCCGGCTCATTCTTTGTTAGGGAGGGAGGCTGTTCTGTTCACTAGAGAATACTTTACAGCATCCACAATCTCTGTCCATTTGATAACTGTAGCAGTTGTGACAATCAAAAATGTCTCCAAACACTATTAAATGTTTCTGGGAATAGGTGGCAAAATCACTCTTAGCTGGGAACAATGAATATAGAGAAAGACATCCCTTGCCTCTCAGAGCATGTGTATTAAATAACTTGCCTTTTCTCTACTTCATTTAGCAAAATTTTAGCTCCTTATATGGCCTTGCTTCGCTTTGCTTTTTCAGTTTTAGAAATTGAACTTAGGACTTTTACACTGAGCTACATTCCCTGCCATTTTTTATTTTTAGACAGATTCTCACCATGTTCCTAAGTAACCCAGTCTGTACTTGCACCTGCAATCTTCCTGCTTCAGCCTCCCAGGGTGCTGCTTGGCATTAACTATTAATCACTAGCCAAACAAATAACAATAGCAAAAAAGTCTAAGGGAATATTCATCTCTCCTTAGCTGCAGGAGAGATATCATTCATTACCATAAAATACAGTTCAAAGACTCTCACTTTGAAAGTTTTCTAAATGACATCCACAAGCAATCTTACACTCTTTTCCATTGAAGTGAACTGAGTGATTTTTCTTTAACCATTCCGTTTTTTTAATGTTCTTATTTAATATGTCTATTCTTGGAAGTGCATGTGAGCTTAAGAAATGAGTAGTGTCTGTAAAAGTAACTTTCGACTTCTGAACTGAATCTGTATTTTTGATTGGTTGCCTTATTTTATAATTTGCTTCCTTGATAATAGTGCTTTGATTGACATTTCTCATCTTAAATGGTATAAACATTTGCAATATTTATTAAAAGACAATAGACATAATAGTCCGTCATTCTTTTTGCATAAGCATGCAGTTAATTAAGAACAAGAATAGAAACTGCTAGGTTTTTCATTTAAAGAAAGAGATTGAAAGTCTGTTTCATTTGTATTCACTTATTGACCTGGCCCTCTCAAGTATGCAGGCCACTCTCATGTCAGACCCCCTTGGACTTCCTGTGTTCTAGCCCCAAGCATATGTGTTTTCTTCAACCCCTGGGTCTCTGCATATGTTCTTTCTGCTACGTGGAATGATTTCCTTGTCTTTATCATGAGAAATTCCTATCACTCATTAAATTTCAAATATCTATCACACAGAAAAAGCCCTCTGAATCCAACAAACTAGATTTGGATCCTGTGTTCTACACTCTCATAGCACTTATCAATGGTGTAATTCACACCAACTAAACATCTCTTCTGGAAGCAGACTCTTACTGATTTAACCAAACGCAGGGTTATTGAAAATTGCGGTCTACAACAGCGTGATTCCCAAACCTGACTGATTGCCAGAAGAAAAAGGAAAAAAAAGTAATTTTTCTGCTTTCTACCACTTAGCAATTTTGATTTAATGATCCTGGGAATCTTATTTAAAACAGTTTCCAGGTGATGTTGCTAAATAGCTTCATTGGGCACTATAGATCTGAGATTTCTTAGAAGACCATGTAGCCTCAAATGAACCCTGAGGTACTGGGGTACACAAGGGATAATCACAAAATACAATGAATATTTAAATAAATACATTTTATTACAGTAAGATTAATTGCTATTAATTGCCCTCAAAATACTCCCTCTCACTTTGAACACATTTATCTCATTATTTGTGTCACTTCCTGAAGCAGTTCTGAAAAATCTATTTTCATGCCTTTGCTGGGTGTGATAAAAAATACAGTGAATGCTGTTTGGGTGTCCTTATCCACCTTATTCAACAGTAGTCTAACACCGTACAATTTCTATTTCTTCCCCAAAGTCAGAATGACCAGGAAAGGTAAGTGCTTTGAGTCAATTCAAACATCGAAGCAACTATAACAATGCAACTAATGACATAAAAGAGAACTTCCAGGACTGCTTCAAAAAGTGGTGTGAATAATGGAATGTGTTTGAAGCAAGAGGTATTTGAGGTAAATTAATGGCAAAGTATCCTTTATTGTAATAATTTTTAAAATTTTTTAAAACATTAAACAGATACTTTATTTTTTGATCCTTTAGGAAACCCTCCTCTCCATTTCATTCTGTGTAAAATGAGTCCAATAATACTTGCTCTGCCTTCCTCACAGAAACTCAAAGCCCAGGGAATGAGCTGGAAATTATTTTGAAAACAAAAAGTTCTTTACAAGTGTAAGGTAATACAAGAACTGTTTTGCTTCTAAATCACTAGCAGACACATCTCAAGGAGGCTTTTGATTATTTCAATCTGAATTGGCTCCAGATAGAGTTAAAAACAAGTTCATCAAGCTACATACCATAATTTACTCCTTTCATTTGTAATTATCGGATTAATCCTTCCTTATCCTTCCCTCCACATCATAAATTTACAAAACCTTAACATACAATCTGCACACCTGATCTTGGCTGCTCCAACCCTACACAGTAATACCACACTTCCTATATGCTTAGGAAAACCAACATTCCAAGATCTTGTCTTCCATTCAGTGGGAAAGATTCCAGACTCCAGCTATTCCCATGGACACACATTTTCTGTGCTTAACTCTAACATTAATAAATTTGGGGATTTTTGCATGATGCCTCAACTTGCTTGATAACATCATCACTCCATCACATGGTGTTCTTTTTGTTTTTTTTTTTTTTTGTCTTTTTCGTTTTTACTGGTACCAGGGATCGAACTCATGACTGCCTGCTTGCAAGGCAGGCACTTATGCCACTGAGCTAAATCCCCAGCCCCCCACATGGTGTTCTGACTAGAGAGTCCTCCACATTTTCATATGGCTCACATGACACTTTTAGTACCTACTCAAAAGTCACCTTCTCGGCAAGGTCTTTTACTGGATAATTTAAAATGTCACTAATACTCCTCCCTAATACTCTTGATCCTGCATCATTTTCATCTTTCTAACCATTGAAGTTTGGAGGTTGTTGGTTTTATTATTAATGAAATATTAGCTATGCGATAATTATTAACACTGTTATTACTACGTAACACATTATTAAACACAAAAGACTTTTGTTGTTTATGTTTTAAGCAAATCATATTCTGTGTTTCATGTTTTAATTTTATTGTGGGTATCACTTATGTGCACTACTCTGTTTTGTTCACTGCTGGATTCTCAAGCTAGAGCACCTGACACTTGGTAGGTACTCAGTCAACACTGGTTGAACAAATACAAATATGGCATGGGTCTCTTCTGCTCTCCCTCCTGTGCAGTGCTGGCTCTGGCTCACCAGGCAAGTATACTGAAGGTAAGTCCTCCACCTGCAGGACTAATGTAGTAGAGTGGGGATGTAGTATTTAGAGTTGAAGAAACCACGTTACAAATTTATGCTTTATCATTTCTTAGCTGTCTTATCCTGAGCAATTCAATAACCACTCTGAGCCAAATGAAGTCAACCATATCTACTCTGTAAAGCTGAAGGAAGGGTTGAGATTTATGCACGTGAGGTTTTTGGAATCTATCCATGCACATTAAATGGTAGCTTACTATTTCATTAATCTCCATGCTCACTTGTCTCATACTTGGCATGTGGAGTTCTAGCTATGTCCAAAGGACGACTAGAATATGTTCCTTGTTCTCTTAGTCCCTCAAGATTGAGAATCCCAACCCCACACACTGACCTGCTTCAATTCCATAGCCTGCCAATAATCTTACCTTGGTGGCAATGGCAGATACCGCAGCTGTTCTTTTGGCAGTTATGACATTTCCATCCATGACCTTGGAGGAAGGAGAGACAGTGAACACATGTCACTTCTATCTATTACTTACATTCTATTTTTTTAACTTTTTTTTTTATTGGTACCAGGGATCGAACTCACGACCACCTGCCTAGCAGGCGCTTATGCTGCTGAGCTAAATCCCCAGCCCCCTATTACTTACATTCTAAAGCAATTCTAAAACAGTAGCCCTAGAATGTATTGTATCTTACAGAAAGCGTGCCTTGGTGGAGACTTAGGACCAGGCCCTTCACTTACAAGATATGCAACTTTAAACAAACTGTTTAACCTCTGAACACAGGCTTCTTCATCTGTAAAATTACAGATAAGTCCAACCACTCGTAGGGTTAAATGAGATTAAATGCGCTGGTATACGGGAAAATATCTAGCACAGAGTCAGTTCTTAAGAATTGCCTATTTTGTTTGCTTGTCCTGAAATTCTCAAAAGACCAAATTAAGGAAGTACTTGAGGAATATGATTGTCATTTCACATGTGAACAAGGACCTGGAACTCCATCCTAGTGATTCTCAACTCATGTAGCACATGTGAGGAGCTTTGTAATGATACTATTCCTATATACTGCCTTCAGATTTACTAAATCTGAATCATGGGCTAGACATGTAGCTCAGTGGCAGAGCGCATGCCTAGCATTCATGAACCCTACCTCCAAACCCTAGTGCCACACAAACACAAAACCAAAAAACAATTACTGAGTCTCTAGGGGCAGGGCCCAGACATCCTTGTTTTTAAAAGCTCCTCGGGTGATTCTGATGCACAGCAAGAGCTGAGAATTATGCCTAGTTAATAATAACAACCATCCTTTGCACTGAACTCCACTTTAAAAGGTATTATCCTCAGCCAACCCTCAAAAAAGTAGGCACTGGTATTCCCATTTTACAATGAAGAGTTACTAGAAGGTGAAGTAAGGATCTCAGTTCCTGTGATAATTCTTCAAAGGCCCACTCCCACTGTCCTGGGGAATTTCTGTGGTAAATAGCAGAGATACCATCACCACCGGATGAGTATAGGTTTGCAAGAGTAAAATACTCTTCCCAGAAGAATGATAAACAGTCAGATTTCATGGGAAAACAGAAATGCAGGGGAGAAGGAAATTCTAAGAACTGACTTGGAGGACACTAGCTTAAAAGCCAGTCACCTAGACTTAGGAGTGGTTGTTGAGTCTTTAACTAGCAGTGGGACCACCTGCAATGTATTTCTACTAATCTGAGCCTAGGGACCACAAATAAAAAGTTGGGGAAGAAAGAGGGAACAAAAAAATCCTATGGAGGAATTAGTCAAAATTGAATGTGATCAATATCCTCCCTAGCAGATGATAAACCTGCAATAAGTGAGAGTTTAAAAAAAGCAGTTGAACATAATCTTAAGATAGGACACAGACTTAGCCTGGGGAGGTTTGATGTCCAGTCGTGATACTTATTAGCTACAATGATCTGGATAAGTTGGGCACAGTTGGCCTATGACTCAGCTTCCTCATCTGTAACGTAGGAGTGAGACTATACCTACCTTGTAGGTAGTTATGTATTAAGAGGGATAATATATGTTAAATGTTTGGAATAGTGTGGGACACATTAAAAAAAACAATACTATAAGTCACTGCTACTTTTTGATACTATGGATTAGATGTTGAAATGGGTCACTATATCCTTCAGAAAAGATCTCACAGATTAGGTAACACCCTTTCCATGTTGACAAGGATTCAGGAAATGTTCCTCAACTTCTGGTTTAGTTCAAGTCATGTGTTTAGGGTATCTGAGCAGGTGATGAGAACATATACAAAAATGACGGGATTATTTCCACATAGTCACACATTTGAAGGAGCAGGAGGCTCAGGTATGTCCTTAGGCAACCCTAGAAACAGACGTACTGCCACAGATAAATCTTCACTGCCCATAGTATCCAGCCACTGTCACATTCAAATCCCCTCCTCACACATGCACACACTCATGGAGAACTAACATCTGAGCCTAGCTCTCCACCCCAGGATAAGGAGTTTCTCACCGCCAGCAGGGAGCCATTGCTGGGCTCAAAGAGTAACACAATGGCCTGGTGGGAGGGGACAGCCGAGCTGGTGTTGTGGCCCTCATAGAAGGTGACCAGCTTGGTGGTCAGGGCATCCTCCGCTGCACTGTAGACAGGCATGACGCCCAGGAAGCTACAAGAGAGAGGAGGCAGATTCAACCCCTTTCCTTCAAGGCTGGGGTGACCTATGAAGTTCTCATATTCTTTTCTGTGTTCTTCATCACACCCACACTGACCCTCTCTTGTCCCCCCCAGTTCCTCGGACCTTCCCTTAGGCAGAAAGTACAGTGTGCTCAAAAGCCTGGCTCCGGGGCAGAAAACCACTCAGCTCTGCCATTTGTTAGCTGTGTGAGCTTGGCGAAATCGTTTAACCTCTCTGAGTCTCAGTTTTCCACCAGTACAATGGTGGCATCAGCACCTACCTTGCCAAAGAGAGTGTGGTGAATTAAATCAAGTAACACCTGTAAAGTACCGCTTAGCATAGCGGATAGATAGTACAGTACTGCAAGTGGCAGCGGTCATGAGCAATGATTAAACAAGTCCTCCTCCCTTCTCCCACGCTTCCCTTTGCGTTCCTCCAGGTCCATCTTTCCAGTTTCTCCTGCCCAAGACCTCCGCCTTTCTCACTCACCCCCTGTGCTTGGACACCGGCACCACGGTGCGCACGGGCTGCACGACGCCTCCATCCAGGCCGCTGGAGAAGTTGGCCAGAGCCGCCTCCAGAGGCGGGATGAGGAGGCTGGAGCTGCGCAGGTGGTCCTGCACCTCGGCCGCGCTCAGGAACGCAGGCGCCCGGCTCATCTTGCAGACTGCCTTCCAACCTCAGCCTGGCACCGCTCTCCACCTTCCTCCCGCGGCGCTGTATTTGAGCCGCCTGCTACAGCCGACCAGCCTCCCGGGGAGGAGCAACCTCAAACCTACCTCCGCCCACTCCGCCCCCTAAGGGTGGGCGGGACACGTCCACCCCACCCGTCGGAATCGGGTTGGCAGGCTGGGAAGCCGAATGCTTGGGTCTACTTTTCAGCTCATGTAATGAGCTGTGGCCACGTCTTTTAGCAAGACGCGTTAGCAGAGGGCTTTGGTGCCCCACCTGTCCCCTCCCCCGCAATTCCATTAGGGACTGCTGTCTTGGGAAAGAACACAAGAGACGGGGAACATCATGGCAGGGTTCTTTAAATTATTACCTGCTGTCAGACGATCTTAGATAAAAAGACTGAGGGTTATTAAATAGTTTCCTTTCACTTCCGTCCCCATCTGGAGTCTGTAATCCCAATCTCCCTCTCTCCTCCTGGGTGTTAAGTGCACAGTTGTTTCTCAGGCTAATTAACGAAACCTTTTAACTCACATTTAAAACGGGGGAAGTTCCCAGGGCAAGGTGCAATGACCTCAGTCACACACAGAGAAAATGCAGTGTATTTTTTGAGTTCCTATTGAATTGGAGGAAGAAGACAAATACACTGTAGAGTGACTAAAGGCAGAAGCCCACAGCCAGAGATGGGAAAGGTGCTTTTTGGTAATTCAAATAGAGGAAGTATTTTGACCTGAACTGGTTAGGTAAGAGTTCCCCAAAGGTGCAGGAGAAACTAAAACTTCAAAACTAATAATGTCAACAACAATAATGACAGCAATCAGCTATTGGTCTTCCCTAGTATCAATATGGCACAATACACTATGTGCATTATCTCATTTAATTACACAACCACTTGGGATGCATGTAGGTGCTGTTGTTCGATTCACTGTACTGTTTAGCCTCTTAGAAGGGTAGGGGTTTATGCAAGTTGTCCGGCAAGTCAGTAGAGGAGTTGCACTTTTCCTGAGGAATCAGACTCCAGAACTTCTATTATACTACCCTCACAGAGCAGGAAGAAGAGGGCATTGCAGGCCAGGCGAAGCCCCCTGGAGGAAAGGAATGTTGTCCAGTCTGATATAAGGGGCCAAAACTCCTAGCCTACCAGATATCGGGTATGAGTTTGTGTTCTTTAAAATCAAAGAATGTTTTAGGAACAACAGAGGTAAAGAGCAGAATGTATTTATTGAGCGAAAGAAAGCTTCTGAGAATCAGAAGGAATCCTGAGTGGATTGCCAAAGACTGCCTTTTCTAGGGAATCATAGAGTAAAACCATTGTGAGGCAGGTCTAAGATGGGGAAAACATGGGAACTCACAAGGTGAGTATGAGGCGGGACAGAACTATGGCCAACCAATAAGATTAACTGCTCAGGTAAAATTGATTAAGTTGGGGACAAATGGGGAAGGGAGTCATGTAGCAATCCAGCCTGCTTAAAGAGCAGTGACTCTTCCTGTAGGGAGGTGTGATGGTGGCTCTTGATTTCCTCAGGGTGATAGAGACTTACTGGGAATATCAATTCCTGATGCTTATCTTTAGTAAGTGTGTGGTTGCATTGGAATTATCTTTTTTGTTGTGGTCTGGCCCGTAGTGGAGGTGTCTGTCTCTCCCACAGTTGCAAGGTATCTGCCCTTCTGCACTGGCTCCTTTGAGGGCCCCACCCTGTCTGACTGCCTATAGTATTTCTATCTAACTCAGTTGCCTATACCAAGTCCTTGGGAACAGTGAGTTGCCAGACAAGTCCGTCTGGAACAGAGGAACAGGGGAGCTGATGTCTGGGAACATCAGCAGATACAACTGGGAAAGTTTCTTAGAGTCAAGCAGCTGAGGAAGGTGATTTTTTGGAAAGAAATCGCAGGCTCAGAGAGATTAAACATTTACAAAAATGGGTCCCATACCAGTGTTCAGAATAGCACAGATGAACAAGAGTGGAGTTCGAGAAGGTGGCACAATTTCCTGTCATTTTAGTTGGGAATTATGTAGAGGATTTCATAGGAAATGGCCACATCACAACAAAACACAGGGCATATTAGTACATAGGGTAAACATACATATTAATAGTTCATATATAATGCATTTAGCAAGTAACCACATAACAAAGAAACTGCTATCATAACAGAAGACCCTGATAGCTAGGAAGATCTGAATTTAGATAAATACACAATGTTGTTTCTTCAGTTTACTCCCCTAGAAATTCATGCCCAAGGTGAGTGGGATTACAGAGATGTTAATGGATCCTTATTTGTATTATAATTATTGTTACATAATATGTACTAGGTTTCAAGAAACCACTGAAATATAAAGAAATAAACAATTTTGTCTCAGGAAAAAATTAAAACCAAATACTCAGATACTAAAATAGTGATATCAAATAGTAAAGCCAGATATTTCTTTACTTCCATTGAGAGTTAAGCAATTTGTTCCAGGATAAAACAAAATGCTAGTATTTGTTTCTAGTAACTACTATAGGGACAGGACTACTTTGTAAATTACTTCAAGTTATCTTTCATATAAAGCTTTGGATAACATTACCCAGCTCTCCCCCACACCCTGCCTTTTAACTTTTAATTTTGAAACAGGATTTTGTTAAGTTGCCCATGCTGGACTCAAACTTGCAGTCTTCCTGCCTCAGCCTCCCAGAGTGCAGGAATACACTTCTGCACAATCGCACCAAGCTTCTTAGGTATTACTGAAGTTTTTAACTTTTACTATTTTTAAAAATAATAAAACTACTATCTAGGGGCTGGGGATTTAGCTCAGCGGCATAAGCACCTGTTTTGCAAACAGGCGGTCGTGAGTTCGATACCCGGTACCAATAAAAAGATTTTTTTTTAAAAAATGAAAAAAAAAAACCCTACTATCTAATGTGGTAATGATTTAACAGAAAAAAAATGTTAATAAATTCATTTGTAGAGTCTGGGTTAGTATCCTGGAAGTTAACATAATCCTTATTTTCTTGCCCTCCTCTGAGGCACTGTCCTAGAACAAGCCTAAAGCGTTTCTAAAATCCTGTACCTGAGCCTCTGGAAATGCCCTGCTAAACCTCAGGCACCTTCTGGGAGAGACGAGGTCACTAGACTCCTGCTATCACTATATCAAAAGTGACTGACTGCAAAGCAGAGTAGTTCCCAGAATGAGGCAAACAGAGCAACTCTAGTACTCACCTACAGCACAAAATTAATGGGACATACTTAGACTCAAGATGTTCAATATAGTTATTAAATATTATAATGCAACATTTTAAAAGCTAAAAGAAATACACTATGAACAAAATATCAAAATTTTAAACTGGTCATTGTAGTGCACCCGTAATCCCAGCACTGGAGAGGCTGAGGCAGGAGGATCGCCATGAGTCAGAGGCCAGCCTGCGCTGCATAGTGAGTTCATAGCAAGACCTTGCTTCAAAAAACAAATTTTAAAAATTAAAGATTAGAATCTCCTTTTCTTCAGACTCCAACATTGCTCTTTATTTAACTTATTAAGTTGAATTTTTAAATAATAGTTTTATTAGTGTTTATCTTAACCAATAATTGGCGTCCCTTAAATGCTGCAGCCAAGGCGAGGGTCTCCTTTCCCTTCCTCCAAGGCTCCCCAGTTGTGGAGGCAGCCCACCCTTTGCCAGGTGCAGCGCTCACTGGAGCCCTCGGAACCCTGGAGAGGAGCGCGCAGAGCCTAGCTGGCTCTCGGGATGGGAGGCGGGGCTGCTGAAGCCCGCCCCCGACTCCTCCCCGCGCGCGCCGCGCCTCTCCGCCCTCCCGCTGCAGGCGGCGGATTTGGGCATCTTGGGGCGCTGCGCTGGGCTTCGGGATGGCTCGTGCAAGGTCGGCGCGCGCCCCTCAGTGGCGGCGAGGTCTGAGTGGTGAGGCTCTGCGACCTCCCGGAGCTTTCCTGCTCCTCCCTGCTCCATCCCTGCAACGCCTGGGAGTCCAGACTTGCTCCCTACAGACAAAAACAATTCCAACTGGTTTTGTTTGTCAGGTGGTGTCCTTTTTGTTATGGTTTTGGTTTGTTAGCCTGAATGGGGGGAAAGGAAGAAGGAGTAGAAAGAGCGTAGATATTGTGAGGACTAGTGAGTTTATTTGGGAGGAGGAGAGATGATAAATGTTGTGGAGAATATGGACCTATCCAAGGAGGATGAGGCAATGGGGAACTTTTAAAGGCATGAGGAGTACACTAATGTAGTGAAAGAGAGCTAGTTGCTTACAGGGGTTTATGGTAGGAATTAGCTTCAGTTCATTAGTGGAGACAGTGTATGAGTCAAACTGTCCCTGTGACTTATGTGGTAGCTGCAGTTTGGAAAACCCTTGCAGATGATTTTGTTACTGGCATAGGTATTTGCAGGAGCCTGCCAGGGAGTCTTGGTAAGGATCCTTGTTATAGGCCTATGTGTGTAAGAACTTTCCATCCTTAATGTCCCAATTCTGATTTATTGGGTTTGACACAGATGACTCAATCTTGCTATGGCCAGCTTTCAGAGCTTGTAGCCTAGTGGTTAGATAAAAGGATTTGGAATGTGTAGCTAACTTTAATTGTAATCAGACTCGAGACAAATAACTTGACCTCTGTCTCACCTATAACATAGAAGTGACATCTCATGGAGCTTTTCAGAATTGCAGTAAAATGGCAAAACAAAACACTACAAGCATTAAGCTGTGTTTTACCTTAATAGCTAACATTGCAGCCTGTGTTTCTCTGGATCAGCCAGTTGCTTACGGGGTGGGGGGAACCTTAGCTCTTCTTGTCTCCCAGCCTGCATTCTAGAAGGGATTCTCCCCTCAGTGGCCCACACATGGCTCTGGCTTGCAGGAGAGCTTGGATTCTTCTTGGCCTCTTGTTCTCCTCCCCCACAGTCTGCAAATGGTGCAGACTTACAGGGAGGTGAATTGATTATCACATGTTGAATCGGCTTCACATTTCTGGGATAAATCCCACATGGTTGTGTGATCTAATCCTTTTCATATTCTGCTGCTCTCAGCAAGTGTTTTGTTGAGGTTTATGCATTTAGATACACAAGGTATATTGGTTTCTAGTTTTCTTGTGATGTCTTCCTTTGTGTCCCATATATTGAGTTAGAAAGATCCTCTTCTCTATGGTTGAGTCTGAGAAGATATGATATAATAAGAAGATAAATA